CCCTACAGTGCAGTTCCATTGGTATGTATTACATCAGTTCCAGTCTCTCCATAATTCTCATCCAAAAGCCCTAAGTACCCACAAGTAAGGGCGCTTGTTTTACTGATTCCCATTTTAATGGTAAGGAAACAGAAGGATGGAAATGGCATTGCCTGTCTTCCAGCAGGTTGTGTGACAATGGTAAGAGGAAAAGGTGCTTTTTTGGTGGCCGTTGTTGTGCCTCAGTGCCATCTCTAACCTCATCGTTTGAGCTTGCAGGAGAACAAAATCTGAAGGTTAATGACGTCTTTTATTTTTTGCTCTGCGTGTGTTCTTTTACGAATGTCAGTTAAGAATTGCACTATTTTTTATCTCAGTCGTAATTAGCACTAAGTTCATCTTCCAAGATCTGACCCTTTTCTTATTTTGACAGATGGCTCATCCAAAGAGTCCCTCACCAGCCCGGTTAAGCGCGGCAAACAGCTTTGATGAACAGAAGTAGGTTTGTGGAACAATGTGCGTCTCGTTTGTGGTCAGGAAGCCGCTTCAGCCCCGTTTTTCTCTCACTCAGGCGTATTTGTAACTAAATCTCGTGCATAGGAGAATGTGGCATTATGAAACCCGCTTAGCAGATTTCTGCTCTTTAAAGACAGCATCTTTCTATGTGTCTCAATCCGGTTGCATCTTCTTTCTTAAGGAAAAAAGAAATGGAATGCCCAAGTCTTTTGATAACCGACTGCTGCTGAAACAGACTGATGTTCCCAGCACTGGTGCTGCCTGTAATGTAAATAAATGTGTGTGTTTGCTGAAATTCAGTATTGGTTTTACATTTTTTTAACAAAAAAAGGTCTTGACAGTAATTACACGGGTTGAAAGAAGCGAAGCAGCTTGGCACTCTAATGTTACTGAAGTGAGAGGCTGAGGGTTTCCGCAAACAGTTCTGTTACGTGGGTAAGCACGTGGGAAGCCATGGCAGTAGCTGTCACTTTTGGCTGTGTCAGATCTCCCATCACGCTGAAAGACCGCACTGCTCCAGGGCCACCGCAAGCCTCACGGCTACGGCCAGGTTCCCCACGACCTGCAGCGGTGGAACCCCGGCGCCAGGTCCGGCCATTTCCTCTGGCCGAGCAGTTGCTTTCCAGAGACACGACGCCAGAGTGGGAGTCCTGGTTGGCAGCGATCTGGCCCATCGGCAGCAGCGTGACCCTCCCGGGCTGCCCCGTGCCTTCTGGGGCATCGCGGCACCGCAGAACCGGGAACCGGGGCTGGCGGGCGACGTGAGCTTTCCGCGACCGGTACGTGCTGTCCGACGCTCGGCTGTGTCTCCGCTGTGCCCGTGCGGACCCGCTCCCACCGGCCGCGCTCCCAGCGCCGCTCACGATCGCGCCCCCGCGTTCCCGCCCCGCTCGCCCCGGGGCCGTACTGCGCAT